TAGACAAAAACATATTTCTAATGCCTATGGAGAAACAGGTTCTTTTGAAATCAGAGTGAAGCCATGGGAGGGAAGCTTTCTTTCAAGTTTCATCACTTTGCCAGAGTTTATATTCTCATTCTCCCACTATGTCCTCACTCTCTTAGCATTCACACTCGCTTGTCAGTTCCCGGCTCAGCTTGCCTTAAGTACTGGGATTCACTGTGTAAGCTCGTCTCATTATTCCCATTTGTGTGGATGTATGTGTGTGTGTGCCCCATGTTTGGGCGTCTGACTGAGTGTGAGAGTGTAAGTGAGTGATGGGGTGTAAGCCCTTCTCTCTTTGCACTCTGTTTGAAATTAAGCGACAGATAATCGCGGGGCTCTGGTAAAACGAGTTCATCTGAGCACCGATCGATTCGGGTGCCACAGCTTCAAAGCGGCTCTTCAAAGAAGAGAGAAATAGCCATACGCTGTATGTGCTCTTGGTGTGTGTTTGTGTGTGTGTGTAAGAGAGCGATGAACGCAGGAGAGCACGGGCTGATGTGAGTGGAGGGAAAAGAGATCGGAACTGAGAAGGTAGCGACAGCAGAGTCGGAGTCAGGGAGCCTCTCTGTGCAGATGAAAACATGATTATATTGCAGTTGACGTGTAAAGTGACTGTGATGCAACAAATGTCACTGTTGATATGAGACAAAATCACTGTGGTGGTCGGTAATCTCCTGGTATTGTGGTTCTGTCATCTTTTATTCAGCAAAACAGCAGTGGCTGTGGCCTTTGTTGACACACACACACACACACACATGTACATCTACTGACAGTCCACTGGGGGTTGTCACATTCATGCCAAATTAAATGTGTATAAATTTTAATGGACACGCCACAACCTTAACAGTACATACAATATTTAGCGACCTTGAATGTCACATGTCCACCCCAAACACACACACACACATACACGTTTATATATATTCTTAAGCAGCATATTTTGTAGTGACGTTCTATCTTGCTAACAGCAGAAAGCCAAACAATGATATTAGGTGCGAACATTCAAGTTGTTCTACCAACATTTGCCAACGTGTGGCCCATCATTTTAATAATAAATTCAAATGGATTTTTATGGTGCCGTCCTCACACTGATCTGGAGGCAAATGTACACAGATGCCTAAAACTTTTGCACTGCCCGTCTGCGTCTCACCCCGTCACTGACTAGCGCAGGTGCAGTGTACTTGGCAGTGCAGATTTGCTTTAGCAACGTCCGATTTTTCATCACCTCCTCTGCACATGCCTCATCATGACTCCAGCTGATGTGGACTGGATACCAGTGTGTGTGTGTGTGTGTGAGAGAGAGAAATGGAGCGAGAGAGAGAGAGAGAGAGAGAGAGAGAGAGAGAGAAGCCAGGACCAGACTAAATGATGAAGCTAGCATTTGTGGGAATGGAGTGGAGCAGGAAGGAGTGTGAAAAGAAGAAATAACAGTGACAAAGGGAGGTGGTTAGAGACGTGCGAGGGTGACAGGGAGAGAGTTTCCCAAACAGTGCTGTGTTTAGCAGTGCCATCTCACCTCTGTCAATGTGAAAATGAGAATGTATTTTTGACTCGTTGGTGTAAAGTAAACTGATCTAGAACTTTGTGCACGACTTGAGTGCGATAACATACGTGCCTGCGTTAGTCCAGGAACTTGTTTCTTTGTGTAATCATATAAGGTGCGCACGTGCGAGTGTGTGTGTGTGTGTGCGTCGGTTGCGAGAGGAGGTGTGTGCGTGTACTGCATTTGTGTGTCAGCATGGCTAATTAGCTGAGACAAGCAGGTGTAAAACAGTAATTAATGACACAACTGACTGACTTCATTATCTCCACGTGAGCTTCTTGCTGGCTGAACAAATGTGCGCGCTCGTGCGCAGTCTCACAGCCACCGTGTCAATTTCAACAGCATCACAGCTCAGTTCTGCCGTGTGTGTGTGACTGAGAGACGGTGTGCTGTTGGACATGAAGTGGACACGCTCGTCGCCATGTGGTCACTAAAAGCTCATTTATTTTGCAAATGGACTCATTACTAATGAAACACAAGCTGCTTTAGAGTGAGCTGAGAACACAGTGACGGGTTGGCCGTCCTCCAAAACACAGACCCCTACAAAACACACACCGATATGTGCAGATATTATTGCTAACACACGGCAACAACTTTATTTCCATCAACATCTCATTGTTTTTCTAAACCGTATCTGGTAAATGAGTAAATATTTTCATTTAATTTCTATTTATTCTTTGCTTGAATCAAAACTGTAGAACTGTAGTTCTGACTGTGCTACAAAGACTGCTGGGCCTGAAAACAACAAATCAAACGCTCACACACACACGCTCACACACACACTGACAGAGATCTTTTTTGAGTATTCAAAAGCCCCAATTACTTTCACATCCAATTTAAGAGGACAAGCTAGGAAGCTAATTACACAACCCCCACATGTGTGGGAAAAACAATGATCCACACACACACACAGACACCCAGAGAGCCTAAAAACAATGATCCACACACACACATTGACACACACACACAGACACCCAGAGAGCCGTGTTGTCCCCTCCCCCGCCCCCGATTGCTTGTATTTGCAGTGATCTTGTTAATAGAATTGTCAGACTGTGTCATTGTGTTATTAGTCCGAGTCATGACTGCAAACCTCCGAGCCTTAACAACCTTTTATTGAATCCTCAATAAGACTGTATAATTTAGTGATTCCAGTTGTAGCCCTATTGATTTACACTTCACTGCTCTGCCAGGGTTGAATGAGATCAAATGATATTGATGCCTCTGAAGGCCCCACGTTGCCATTTTGGTAAGTGGAATAAATAGTACATTTAAGTACAATCAGTCAAGACACAACTGACTGTTGGTAATGCTTATTTTCTCTGTCACACACACACACACATACCCGTTCAGTGTTACTCCGTGGTGACTGAGTGAGATGGCTGTGATTGGACACAGTAATTGGCTCTAATGAATATGTCAGCAGCCTGTTTCTCTCCCTCTTCGTTAAACACAACTGGGTCAGATTTACTGTGCTTACTCCGACTTAAAGACTCCATTAGTACGAGTACTCTATACACACACTTGCGGTGCACGCGCACACGCGCACATACAAATACAAACAGACTGACATTTCCCAGTGAATCAATAGCCTCTTGGTCAATGTTTCCTGGGGGGGGAGTTACCCACCTCCTCCACACTAATGAAACACGTGCGTGGCCCTGCGTGCACGCGTTTGCTCATCAAATGCATGGACGTAATGATGCGTTTGTTTTCAGATTAATTACACAATGTTGTGCGTTTTCTTTTTCTTTTCTTTTTTTTACAAGCACATTAACAAAGATGTAATTGGCTGGTTAGTGTGGAGGAATGGGACGACACTGGTGCAGTGATAGGGTTTTTACCTGCCATCCAAAAGGGTCAAAGGTCAAAATCAGTCCATTATTATGAAGACCACCTTGAGTTAGTGTACTGCAAATATCAGTCAAATATATGTTTGCGTACATATATGTAAATATATGTATATATGTATGATCACATTTTTGTCGACTGCTGTACAGCAGCCCAGTGCACCACTGTAATGTGGAGCTGTACACCTCCCACATCAAAACCTGATGATTCAAAACTTTGTGTTTTTTCCATGGAAATGGTAAAACCTACAGTACAACAGCAAAACAGAACAAAAATGTATTACACCAAGTAAAAACATCAATGTTTAGTAAATGACCTTTGACCCGGCTGACTGATGTAATCATGTTTCATTACGAAACATAACTCAACAATTAAAACCCTTATATTTCTGCCTCTTATAGTTTTAGTTTCCATTACAAAAAAACACTCAAATCTGCAATGTTAATACCTTTAATAGTCGAGTTTCTTCTGCGCTACGATAATTTACTTCTTCTTTTTTGGGGTTCAGCGTCTTGTCTGCATCCCTTGAAATGCATTTCTGCCCCCTGCTGGACCTCATTTCAACTATTGCACATTGGTACATTCAATTTAATTTGCAAGAATGGAATAAACAGCTAAAAAAATTACCGTTAGTGTATTTTGGTTTTTTTACGGTTTCTCTAGAATTTTCCCACTACCCCTTTATTTGCCATGGTTTTAAATTGTAATATTAATCAGGCTATTTACATATTGTTGGAGATGCCAGACCGGGGCCACTCTGTGCCATGTGTCTGTTCAACTGTAAGGGGGGTTTGCATAATCTCATTCCAAGGCCTGGTGTATTGCAGTCAGTGTACTGTGGCAAAGGGAAGTAAAGTAGGTCAGCAGTTGGCAGAACACAAGACAAACACCCAGTGAGCCAACTCCATCTCCCCACTTCCCACACCAATCTACTGTGGGGTTGATGAAGTCGGAGCTGCAGAGGCAAGGAAGGAAAGAAGTATATATGCGGGTTCCAGGCACTCAGCAAATCCAGCAAGGCTATATCTGGAATCTCTCTCTTTTTTTGTTTGTTTGTGCAGACTTTGGAAGTTCAACATCCCCCTCAAAAGCAGATTTGAGAACAGCCTCTTGAAATGTTTGTTAATTTTAATGATGCAGCCTGTCAAGTGATATTCAGTGCAACAGAATCAGTCTCTCTTGGCTTCCCCTCTTTAATCTACTCTAGGATCCGTGTTTGTGTAGATGTGTCAAAAGGCCCACCTGCGTACGACTGCTCACTGTCATCAAGTTCGTCTTTGATTCTAGTTTGAGTTGATATTAAATGTGTTCAGCTGGTGATGTAATAGTATTTTAAACCAAGCATTTATTAACAGATGTATTTTTGTAAAAGAACAGTCTGAAATTTGAATCCAAAAAACTTTCAAAGAAAATGTTTTTCTCTCAAATACAGTGAAATTTACCCGGTAGTCAAACACACAACGAGAACTCGATGACATTTTAACATTTTTTGTTTTGTTTTGTCTGTTGACTTGGTTTTTTCTTCCATTGAAACTATTGTTAATCAACACGTCTTTCTCTCTCTCTCTGTTCCTTTCTGCAGTTTTGCCTGGTAAAGTGCTTCACAAGGTAAGAAGGATTTGATGGTTTTCTTTGAAATTGTCAATCTGATTTTAATTCATGGCCATTTGTCACAGCAGTAACAATCAATGTCCTTAAAGTTTTAGACAGTGATTCTTGTTCACTGAAACACAAAAGCAGGAAATTAAGACAGCAGAAATACAAAAGAAGGGTTTATGCACTCTGCATCATGTGCAAAAAACATGATAAATCACACACACACACACACACACGCATGTATGTACAGAAGTGTGCGATGGAGTACTCCAGGTTCTATTTTTATTCCACGTTGGATTTTAAACTGATTAAATGGTTAAAATAAAATACTTAACTGAACACCTCTGACCCTGAACTGTCTATTTTTGCCGTAATTAATTCATATTTATTCAACATAATTCTATTTAATTTGTTTATTAGGACAATAACAAAGGAAGAATATCCTACTGTGAGCACAGTGTCGATAAATAAAAAAAAAAATTCTCTTGACGTTGATTAAACGTTACATAAAGTCATTAGGAGTGAGGGAGAGAGGTGAGGGATAAAATGAAAAATTGGATGGAACTATGATGTTCAATTAAAGTAGTTACATATAATATGTCTCAGTTATATTTTTGGTCTTCCCATTGCTTTTCTCAATGATTTATGACATTGTATTTTCCATTACACCGCCCTGCTAGGTCCAGAGCAGGGCTAAAGTCAGTCAGAGGAAGAAAGCATGCATGTCCCACAGAACAGGCACAGAAGCAGCATAAAAGGAGCCATAGTTTTTGAACTGAATGTGTGTGTGTGAGTGTGTGTGTGTGTGTGTGTCATATGTGCACATCTGAGGCCTCCTCCTTCATTGTGTGTATATCTAGTTCCCAGTGTTCTAGAGTGGCTCTGCTGGGACCCTGTGCAGAGCCTCATTAGTGGCTAAGGTTTGGCCGAGACACTGCTACTGAACACTCACTCTGGGGCACAAGTCATATGTCATGGTCCTGCTGGCCCACACTTGAAAGTCCAGTTAGATTTCTTTGTCCAGTTAGAGTCATCTCTGCAATCGATGGCTAATCTATCCATATATCCATCCATCCATCCATCCATCCATCCAGTCATCCATCCATCCATCCATCCATCCATCCATCCATCCAGTCATCCATCCATCCAGTCATCCATCCATCCATCCATCCAGTAAATATGTATATACATACATGCAGTACAGGCATACCTATATAGTACATAAATACATATATAAATACATTACATGCGGTCATCGATCCATCATCCGTCTGTTCATCCGTCCATCAATCAAAGTAACAGTGCCAACTTCTTTACATTAACGCCGGTCCAATCAATTGATGAGTTTCTGCAGCAGATGGCCAGTGAGTGTTGATAATTTACCGCTGGTTCTTTAAAGACAAGCCAACAAATTCACTCCATGTTGGCCAGTGCATTAAACGGCCATAAAATATGACCCTGTTGTTTTAACAGAAAATACTGCAGCAGCCTCTAATTAAAGCAGCTTCTGCTTTTAGCCCACCACTGCTCTGACCTATCACGACTCTTCATAAAAAAGCTGCACGGATGAAGCAGCTGCTCCTGTTCCAAATGTGTACATTATCCATTAAATAAAAACAAAAAACAAACCTGTTTTTATATTATATTTCTGAATGTGAAATGTCTTCCTTAAAAGTACTCTTAGTAGTACTAGTTAGACGGGGCAATGCTCTCCCCGTGTTGTTGTTGTACGTGTAGAACATCACTAAACACTTCAAGTTGTGTAATTGTTGTTATTGTAATAAAAGTGGTTTACAGCCACGGCTTTAATAGCTCCGCTCAGCTGGAGAAAGGTTAATTACCACATCCTGTTACAGACAGACAGGACACCTGCCTCTGTGACGCACACACATTCACTCTGAACCATTCAAACAAGCAAGGCATCACACAAAGATGTGTGCGTGTTTGCGTTGTCTTAAAAATGTAATCTAGCATCTGCTTGTCCTCAGTTCCCACTGAATTTAAAAAAAAAAAAAAAATATATATATATATTTTTTTTCATCGACTCATCTGCTAATTTGCAGCTCTTGCTTCAACCTTGCCGTTCAGGTGTGTCAATCCTGCAGTTTAATTACGTAACTATCTTAAATAAAGTCGATGTGGTGATGACATCACAGATATCCAGAGGGTGGGCACCACAGTGCCACTGTTGTTCAGAGAGAAGCCGATGAATTCTTGGCAAACGATTCAAACTGAACCTCAAAGAAAAAATAAATTTTATGAAGGAAAATAAATTTCTATTAATAACAAAAACACCACAGTATCTTTATTTCCTGGCACCTCTGGACTCTTCTAACTTTATCCCTGTCATCAAACATTCCCACCTCCTGCTTTAACTCACCCTTTTCTCTTACTGTGTCTTAGCCCACATATCCACCTATTTTTGTACACATCATGTCCTTATTTGTGTTGTTTCCCATCCACCTCCTCTTCCTCTTTCTATACTCGTTTTATTAGCAATCTAGACAGCTTCGGTTGAGAATGCTGGGAAAGGGGGAGAAAATAGAGCGAGGAGAAGTGAAGGAAGGATACCGTTAGAAAGAAAAGGAGCTGAGGGGATGAAAAAAAAGAGAGAAAGGGAGGTAGAGATTAATAGATTAAGTAGAGAGGTGCATGATGAAGGCTTAAAAGAGCGTGGAGGGGCGGGAGAAAATGAAGGTGGAGGAAGAGAACGGGTTGCGTTAGGGTAACACTGTTGTGGAGAGGGGTGAGGAGGAAGATCAAGTAGGTGCTATGCAGAGAGGAGAGAGGTGCAGGAGAGGCTATTTTAATGCAGGCTAGAAACCAGGGGGAAGAGAAGGGGGAGGGAAGGAAAAAAAAAACAGGAGAGGCAACGGAAGATGAGGGGAAGAGTAATAAACGAGCTGAAACATAGTTATGGAGGGAAGGTGGTGGGAGAAGGAGGAGGGGGTGAGTAAAGAGTGAGAGGAAAAAAAACCAAAATGTCAGGGAGGAGGGGGGAGGAGGGATGGATGGATGGATAAGTAAACTTAGGGTTAGTCAGAGTGTGTTTCAGAGAGAGGACAGGAACAGTGCTTTTATGGAAGGACACTGGCTGCACGGAAGGAAGTGAGGTGGGTAATAAGGCCATAGCTCATTCCTGTGGAGGTATGTGAGAGTCTCAGACTGTCTGTGCCCTGGTTGCGTGTTTGAGTGTGCATGGGTAGCTGAGGGGGAGCAGCCTCTATCCTATTAGTGACTACCTCTCAGTGAATGACTTATGTGCACCTCGTTTTTCACCAGCAGGATGACAGCAAAAGCTCAGGAGGAAACAAACACACACACACACTGTTTTGCGTGCACACACACATGCACGGCCTCAGCTTTGGATACAGAAAAAGATCCTCGTGTAGCGAGGTGATGCCATCAGCACAAAATAACACAAAACAGTGCAGGGATCAGTGCTAAATTAAGAGGCTTCCTAAAAAGGAAAATTAAAATAAATTCCTGCCGTATCTATTGAAAATGGCAACCTGCCTGTGAGACGGTGTTTTCAACCTAAACCTGTGTGTTTTCTAGAACTTTTTGGAGGTGTGAAAAAAGTGGAAGGTGCAACAATTTAACATATGGCCAAAAATGTTAACATGTGCTCAAGGATAGGTGTCAGGACTGATGTTTGTCAAACTGTGTTTTTTTGGAGCATCAGTCTCAGGTTTCACCTCTCAGCTATCTGCCCTCCCACAGAGAATGAAAGCAAAACCAAAAAATAGGAAAAAAGTGCAGCTACAGTTTGGAGTGTGAAATTCTCTAAGACTGGGTGAAGCATGTGGAGGCCAAGGCTGAGAAATGAGAGAGTGTTTTGCACCGAAATACTTTTCCATCAGTCACAGGGAGAATATGGCAAAAAGTACCAAAACTCTTGACACAACAAACCAAGGCATGCCAGTCCATAGACAAGCTAATGCTAAAAACAAACACGGACAAACAGAATAATACAGTGGTCTTCAACAGTTCCCCACCACGGACGTGTTTTATACAACATTTCCATGGACGTACGTCAGGGGTGTGTGGGCGTGGGGTTCTGTCCAGGTACTTAATAGAGGTCGATCAGACACTATAAATGGACCATAGGTAAGAACTGACCGTGACTGTGAGTGTGAATTGTTTGTCTCTATAGGTGGCGCTGCTATGGACTGACGTTAATTTAAAATATAAAAATAGAACTGATTCTTTATATGGTTGGTATCAAATTATACCATCACCAGAACTGGACCCCGACCCAGTTGTTGGAGACAACAACAATCAGCTAATGCCGATATTAGCAGTTGTAATGGTCATCAGATTTAGCTTGTGAGTGCTTAAGTAAGTCAGCTAGTTAGTCATGACCCTTGTTTTTGAATAGGGATCTGGTCGTCCTGCCAGAAAAACAGTCTTCTGAAAAGAGGAGAATTAAGATGAAATTATTGATTTTTAAAAACACCACAGTTTGACAGTTGGCCCTATTACTGCAGTGCTGTCAGAAAGAGAAATGAATTGAGTTATCTGTGGAGCTGAGGAGCTGACATTCTGACTTTCATTCCACTGTAATGTCCACTTAGTCTGAACGTAGACCATGTTTTCTGTGTATCTTTGATTCTATAACAACCTGTGTGCTTGGTCTTTATGGATTCCAGTGATTTTAACTGTGTCCTTAAACCATCTTCACTAGAGCAAAAGAAAACTTTTGTGAACTTTGAAAATGATGAGTATGAGTATCAGATTGTTAAGGTGCTAATGTTTAACAATTAGCCTTGTTTATTTGTCAGTAAAAACACTTACCAATAAGGTTTGGTTCTTTGTTTTTGTTTTGTTGCCTGTTTAATGACTTCTAGTTTATTACAAGGCCAAAGATTTAGGAAGAGTGCCATCTTAACTGTAACCTTAAGTGTCTTTGCGACCAGGATAATCAAAAGAATACGTCACATAAGCCAAAGTACTACAGTAATATGCAGACAAAATGCGACAAAACAAATGTAAGGCAACACAAAAAAGCC